ATCCCTGGGAGAGGTGAAGCAGGTTGAGAGCCCTGGGGGAGGTGAAGCAGGTTGAGAACCCTGGGGGAGGTGAAGCAGATTGAGAGCCTTGGGGGAGGTGAAGCAGTTTGAGAGCCCTGCGGAGCTGAGGCAGTTTGGGAGCCTTGGGGGAGGTGAGGCAGATTGAGAGCCCTGGGGAGGTGAGGCAGTTTGAGAGCCTTGGGGGAGGTGAGGCAGATTGAGAGCCCTGGGGAGGTGAAGCAGATTGAGAGCCTTGGGGGAGGTGAGGCAGTTTGAGAACCCTGTGGGAGGTGAAGCAGATTGAGATCCCTAGGGGAGGTGAAGTATATTGAGATCCCTGGGGGAGGTGAGGCAGTTTGAGAGCCCTGTGGGAGGTGAAGCAGATTGAGAGCCCTGGGGGAGGTGAAGCAGATTGAGAGCCCTGGGGGAGGTGAAGCAGATTGAGACCCCTGGGGGAGGTGAAGCAGGTTGAGAGCCCTGGGGGAGATGCAGCAGGTTGAGAGCCCTGGGGGAGGTCAGGCAGATTGAGATCCCTGGGGGAGTTGAGGCAGTTTGAGAGCGCTGGGGGAGGTGAGGCAAATTGAGAGCCCTGGGGGAGGTGAAACACGTTGAGAGACCTGGGGGAGGTGAGGGAGTTTAAGAGTCCTGGGGGAGGTGAGGCAGTTTAAGAGCCCTGGGGGACGTGAAGCAGATTGAGAGCCCTGGGGGAGGTGAAGCAGGTTGAGACCCTGGGGGAGGTGAGGCAGGTTCAGAGTCCTGGGGGAGGTGAAGCAGGTTGAGATCCCTGGGGGAGGTGAAGCAGGTTGAGATCCCTGGGGGAGGTGAAGCGGATTGAGATCCCTGGGGGAGGTGAAGCAGGTTGAGAGCCCTGGGGGAGGTGAAGCAGGTTGAGAACCCTGGGGGAGGTGAAGCAGATTGAGTGCCTTGGGGGAGGTGAAGCAGTTTGAGAGCCCTGCGGAGCTGAGGCAGTTTGGGAGCCTTGGGGGAGGTGAGGCAGATTGAGAGCCCTGGAGAGGTGAGGCAGTTTGAGAGCCTTGGTGGAGGTGAGGCAGATTGAGAGCCCTGGGGAGGTGAAGCAGATTGAGAGCCTTGGGGGAGGTGAGGCAGTTTGAGAACCCTGTGGAAGGTGAAGCAGATTGAGAGCCCTAGGGGAGGTGAAGTTTATTGAGATCCCTGGGGGAGGTGAGGCAGTTTGAGAGCCCTGTGGGAGGTGAAGCAGATTGAGAGCCCTGAGGGAGGTGAAGTATATTGAGATCCCTAGGGGAGGTGAAGCATATTGAGAGCCCTGTGGGAGGTGAAGCAGATTGAGAGCCCTGGGGGAGGTGAAGCAGATTGAGAGCCCTGGGGGAGGTGAAGCAGATAGAGACCCCTGGGGGAGGTGAAGCAGGTTGAGAGGCGTGGGGGAGGTGAGGCAGTTTCAGGGCCCTGGGGTAGATAAGGCAGTTTGAGAGCCCTGGGGAAGGTGAATCAGATTGAGAGCCCTGGGGGAGGTGAAGTATATTGAGATCCCTAGGGGAGGTGAAGCAGATTGAGAGCCCTGGGGGACGTGAAGCAGATTGAGAGCCCTGGGGGAGGTGAAGCAGGTTGAGACCCTGGGGGAGGTGAGGCAGGTTCAGAGTCCTGGGGGAGGTGAAGCAGGTTGAGATCCCTGGGGGAGGTGAAGCAGGTTGAGATCCCTGGGGGAGGTGAAGCGGATTGAGATCCCTGGGGGAGGTGAAGCAGGTTGAGAGCCCTGGGGGAGGTGAAGCAGGTTGAGAACCCTGGGGGAGGTGAAGCAGATTGAGTGCCTTGGGGGAGGTGAAGCAGTTTGAGAGCCCTGCGGAGCTGAGGCAGTTTGGGAGCCTTGGGGGAGGTGAGGCAGATTGAGAGCGCTGGGGAGGTGAGGCAGTTTGAGAGCCTTGGGGGAGGTGAGGCAGATTGAGAGCCCTGGGGAGGTGAAGCAGATTGAGAGCCTTGGGTGAGGTGAGGCAGTTTGAGAACCCTGTGGGAGGTGAAGCAGATTGAGAGCCCTAGGGGAGGTGAAGTATATTGAGATCCCTGGGGGAGGTGAGGCAGTTTGAGAGCCCTGTGGGAGGTGAAGCAGATTGAGAGCCCTGGGGGAGGTGAAGTATATTGAGATCCCTAGGTGAGGTGAAGCATATTGAGAGCCCTGTGGGAGGTGAAGCAGATTGAGAGCCCTGGGGGAGGTGAAGCAGATTGAGAGCCCTGGGGGAGGTGAAGCAGAATGAGACCCCTGGGGGAGGTGAAGCAGGTTGAGAGGCGTGGGGGAGGTGAGGCAGTTTCAGGGCCCTGGGGTAGGTAAGGCAGTTTGAGAGCCCTGGGGAAGGTGAATCAGATTGAGAGCCCTGGGGGAGGTGAAGTATATTGAGATCCCTAGGGGAGGTGAAGCAGATTGAGAGCCCTGGGGGAGGTGAAGTAGATTGAAATCCCTGGAGGAGGTGAGGCAGTTTGAGAGCCCTGTGGGAGGTGAAGCAGATTGAGAGCCCTGGGGGAGGTGAAGCAGATTGAGAGCCCTGGGGGAGGTGAAGCAGATTGAGACCCCTGTGGGAGGTGAAGCAGGTTGAGAGGCGTGGGGGAGGTGAGGCAGTTTCAGGGCCCTGGGGGAGGTAAGGCAGTTTGAGAGCCCTGGGGAAGGTGAATCAGATTGAGAGCCCTGGGGGAGGTGAGGCAGTTTGAGAGCCCTGTGGGAGGTGAGGCAGTTTGAGAGCCCTGGGGGAGGTGAAGCACGTTGAGAGCCCTGGGGGAGGTGAGGGAGTTTGAGAGTCCTGGGGGAGGTGAGGCAGTTTGAGAGCCCTGGGGGAGGTGAATCAGGTTGAGAGCCCTGGGGGAGGTGAAGCAGGTTGAGAGCCCTGGGGGAGGTGAGGCAGGTTGAGATCCCTGGGGGAGGTGAAGCAGTTTGAGAGCCCTGGGAGAAGTGAAGCAGGTTGAGGGCCCTGGGGGAGGTGAAGCGGAATGAGATCCCTGGGGGAGGTGAAGCAGGTTGAGAGCCCTGGGGGATGTGAAGCAGGTTGAGAGCCCTGGGGGAGGTGAAGCAGGTTGAGAACCCTGGGGGAGGTGAAGCAGATTGAGAGCCTTGGGGGAGGTGAAGCAATTTGAGAGCCCTGCGGAGGTGAGGCAGTTTGGGAGCCTTGGGGGAGGTGAGGCAGATTGAGAGCCCTGGGGAGGTGAAGCAGATTGAGAGCCTCGGGGGAGGTGAGGCAATTTGAGAACCCTGTGGGAGGTGAAGCAGATTGAGAGCCCTAGGGGAGGTGAAGTATATTGAGATCCTTGGGGAAGGTGAGGCAGTTTGAGAGCCCTGTGGGAGGTGAAGCAGATTGAGAGCCCTGGGGGAGGTGAAGTATATTGAGATCCCTGGGGGAGGTGAAGCAGATTGAGAGCCCTGGGGGAGGTGAAGCAGTTTGAGAGCCCTGGGGGAGGTGAGGCAATTTGAGAGCCCTGGGGGAGGTGAAACACGTTGAGAGCCCTGGGGGAGTTGAGGGAGTTTGAGAGTCCTGGGGGAGTTGAGGCAGTTTGAGAGCCCTGGGGGAGATGAAGCAGATTGAGAGCCCTGGGGGAGGTGAGGCAGATTGAGATCCCTGGGGGAGGTGAGGCAGTTTGAGAGCCCTGGGGGAGGTGAAGCAGATTGAGAGCTCTAGGGGAGGTGAAGCAGGTTGAGAGCCCTGGGGGAGGTGAGGAAATTTTAGAGTCCTGGGGGAGGTGAGGCAGTTTGAGAGCCCTGGGGGACGTGAAGCAGGTTGAGAGCCCTGGGGGAGGTGAAGCAGGTTGAGAGCCCTGGGGGAGATGCAGCAGGTTGAGAGCCCTGGGGGAGGTGAGGCAGATTGAGAGTCCTGGGTGAGGTGAGGCAGTTTAAGAGCCCTGGGGGAGGTGAAGCAGGTTGAGATCCCTGGGGGAGGTGAAGCGGATTGAGATCCCTGGGGGAGGTGAAGCAGGTTGAGAGCCCTGGGGGAGGTGAAGCAGGTTGAGAACCCTGGGGGAGGTGAAGCAGATTGAGTGCCTTGGGGGAGGTGAAGCAGTTTGAGAGCCCTGCGGAGCTGAGGCAGTTTGGGAGCCTTGGGGGAGGTGAGGCAGATTGAGAGCGCTGGGGAGGTGAGGCAGTTTGAGAGCCTTGGTGAGGCAGGTTGACAGCCCTGGGGGCGGTGAGGCAGTTTGAGAGCCCTTGGGGAGCCTGAAACTAGGACACATTTATACATAAATATACACAACAGCCACCACGTGTCACTTAGTGGCGGTGACATCATAATGGCGCTTGTACCAGGCGAGGTGCACTTTGAGATACGCACACTGTTTGCCACCAGCAAGAAGACCGAAGCAAGACTTGTGCTGGACACTGGAAAGTGGAAAACGCAAGAGAGGACTCCTGATAATCTGGAGCCAGATTACACAAAAGGACAGAACGTCTGTCAGAGTTACTTGGGAAGAGCGGCCTCTGTTGGCACAGAGACCCATTAACTCACACAGAGACATGTATCCACACAGAGACACATAGACGCGCACAAAGACAGATTCACACAGAGACATATAGACTCACACCGACAGACACAGACTCACTTAGGGACTTACAGAGACCCAAAAATTCACATATAGGTCTATATGAGAGTCTGTGTGTCTCTTTGCATGTATATGTCTCCCGCTGATGGAACAGGATTGTGTGCGTGGAGGTGCTGGGTGTCAGTGACGGATAAGGCCACGGACTTGGGGCCATGGTGCCGTGGTTCAGAACCATTTGGTTGGTTGTGAAAATGTGCTTTTACATTCAACCCTACCTCGGATCATCGCTCATCCTATCCCAGTGTGGTGGAACATTCCTGTCACCCAGAGGCTTGAGGGTAGGGAGGTAGATCATGCCAAGAGACAGAAAATGATTGAGAGGTGCGGGAATCCACAGATAGGCGGGAAGGCAGCCGGAACCGGCGCCAACAATTTCCCAAGCTCTATGCCCCTCTATATCGGGGTGTTTGGCCAACTCCACACGTAAGCTGCTTGTTGTGTGGTCCCTTCAGCAGCGTCAGATCGAGACTGCAGTGGTTTTTACACGGAGGCGGGTGAGTGGCACCTGGGCTTCGACTGCCCATGGCCCCAGCACTGCTGTGGAGACTGCCACGCTCGCTACTGCTGCACCACGGCACTGGAGGAACTGCACGAGGATGAGCAGAGTTGGTGCAACTTCTTTGTGATCAGGTCAGGAACGCCACACACCTCCATGCTCAGGGATTAACGGCGCAAAAAACGATCAGATATATTGCGAGTACATTCTGTAAACATGTGCACAGGAAACGTATTTATTATTAAGCTTATTTACCCACAAAGGTATCACTTGAGTCCCAAGACTCTGTTTCAAGTGATAATAATTGAAAAGGTTTTACTCTTTCCAGCAATGATACAGGTGTTGAGATGTTCACACACTAAATAGACACCCATTGTAATGCATTACGTATGCATTAACCACACATGATTGTGGCAAAACATGCAAACACACGTTCCTTGATAATAATGTATGCATTGTGTTTGAAACGGATTGGCCTACACCAAAGACAGTTTCTTTTATGGCCTCGTCTCACCAGTGTTAGTCCACAGTACGCCAAAAGGTAAATAACAATAAGGCAATGCAAATATATTTGCATTATTATGTCGGGTTGAGCAGTTATCTATGTGACCATTTTTTACCGACAAAAAATGATCACATAGATAGTTCTGCCACGTGTTCTCAGTCAGGGTCAATGTTTCCCTGTGTAATCCCGATTAAGTAATATCCAGGTAATTCAACATTGAACCTGGAGGAAAATACATGTTCTCCGCTTGTTTCAAAAACAATGTGACTAGTATTGGCCAAGCATGCTGAACACAGTTATAAAGTTACCTAAAAATCACTCAATTGGGATTGCACAGAGCAGCAACATCACCCCCTCCTGCGAAAACCTGGCAGGACCCTCATTAAAAATATATATTCTTGAGATTCGGTGATTTCCTGAGTCAACAAGGACGATGTGTACACCATTTTGCATGTGAATTGGCACGGTGTGCTGCCACCGCCCCAGCCCCAGCATTATCGCGGGCATCACGCTGGGGCTTTTCCTGCTGATGCTCATCCTCACCCTCATCTGCTGCTGCACCTGCTCGGGCTGCGTACTCAGCCAGATGCGCCTCCGCCGCCGCTCATCCTCCTGCTCCAGTGGGTAACACCACACTGGGCACAAGCATAAAGATCCCCCGATGGCCTTTAACAGACTGTTGGAGCGAGTGCTGTGAGCAACCACCGATGAAAGCTGGCTTGGCACGCGAGGAGATGAGTGACCAACACCATGCCCGGCTGCCTTTGTGTCTCAAGTAGTAATGTTCACACATCGCACCAGGCTGTGTCGAACTAGGAGAGCCCCAAGACCGTTTTAGGTAATCGTCACTGGTGTTTGCGGTGAGCGGGAATCGAACTCGGGTTCCCGGGTTCGTAGCACAGTGTGCTAACCGCTGCACTACCGCTCCCAATTGCTGTCAGCTTAATCATGCATGACCACACAGAAGCAGTGCATTTTTATTTTGTATTCTCATGAAAATTCAGTAAAATTATGAGCGGCTCTTGTTATTAAACGGTCCTGTAAAGATAATCTAATCATTAATAGTCGGTTGGTAGTTATCGGCCATGGAATGATCTGACCAAATTTGTGTCGTTAATACCATACACCACCCAATAACCAAACAGATTAATTATTATGTGTAAAAGCATCTAAAGCATCACTTATTAATGTTTAAGCTCACCTGTAAGATTAAACAATTTTGACAACTAAAATATAGCAATAAGATATGGCGTTTCATTTGAAACTGCACCATACATCCTCAGGAAGAGATCCGGGAAGTCAGAATCACCTCCTGACCTGGCTTCAAAATGACAAGGCCTAACCCCAAACATCAATAATGGATTGTAACACGAGATGCGAAATCGCGCGTGTTAAGTGTCGATATGATTATACTTTGTTGGTTTTTCAGGTCACTGCGATGCATCATTGTATGGTTCCCATGCCGGGTCCTTCAGCAGCCTCACCAGAACGCAAGCCCAGAGCCAGCCGTCCAGCCAGCACGCGGGCAGGCAGTTGCATGGAGGCTACACAGTGGTCCCGGCCAACTCTCAGCTTGTCTCACCCGCAGAGCTCACGCCCAGCCCGCAATCTGAAACCCCCCCGCTCGTCTCTACCACGTTCGTAGGGGGCTTCTCCGGTGGACTGGTTCCGGAGGGTGCCACCGTGGTACATGCCGTGCGTGCGGTCACCGAGTATCAGTTCATCGTGGGGCCGCCGCCACCGTACGACGAGTCTGGTCGGCAGGGCACGCAGATTTAGCAATGCTGCGGTGGCGAAGTGGTAACACTCGCACCTCTATAGCAAGAAGGGTCTGGGGTTGATACCCAACTCGGGCGCCTTTCCGTGTGGATTTAACACGTAGGGCTTTCGTGACAAATATTTTCTGTAATAAAGTTTTTTGGGTTACATCGCGTAAATATAAATATCGTAAACCCACCTCCACCCGGCACAGACAATTAGTAAAGGTTGTCACGTGAACTTCAGCACACCGGTGTGTTGGAGAGTAAACCCACATTTACAAATTGAACTAACGTTTCGTTGGTGATTACAACCTTACTCAATGGCTGTGTTGATGTAAAGCCTTCATTATGAATGTGTGGAGTTTATGTTCTCCCCTGTGTTCTGCATGGGTTTTCTCTGAACACTCACTTCTTTAGAACTGATTTTTGTGTTTAGTTTGATGTCCATCCCCCGCACCTCCGATTAGCACGGATGGCTACATACGGTGCGAAAGAAGTTCAACATACATACAATGTAACTGGTATTGATTGGACAAAACATCTCAATGCTGAAAAATTATCATCAAATTGCTTGATTTGGGTTACACACAGCAGCAACATCGCCGCGGACTGCAAACACTTTGCAGAACCCTCCTGAAAAAGCTGAGGCTCAGTGAAGGCTTTCCAGGGTAAACGAGTGGATTAACAATAACACACGAGTATAAAGATTGCTAAATTACCACAAATACTTTACACTCTCGGCATGCATTGCTGACGGCAATTCCACCGTAATGATTGGCGTGGATGAAGATTTGGAGAGCAAGGAGTTGTTTATTTACAGAGTAAGAGGACAAATTGACAAGAATTCATCACCTGCAACAAACGAAAATGCAACCGAGTGCGTGATTTCCAAAGGCGACCGAGAATGTATCTACCAAAGCATTACCGGTGACACCTTTAGCTTCCAGGTGTCCCGTGTCATCATCATCATCATGTGCATGCCCCTCAGGGAGTAGCAGTCCCCACGAGGCGCCACCAAGCAACCCTATCCTGCTCTAGCCGCCACGCTGAATACAAGCCAAGGCCGTGGTGTCGAGGATTTAGCTTGTTTGGCTACGTCTGGTGGTGGGGTGGAGGGTCTTACGACATACATTTTGCCACATTACGTGGCCTATTTTCAAACATCAATTGCAAAAGCTGGCAGTTTATGTATATTAATTTACCACCTAAAGAAAACATAAACGATATAAACATAGTATTTGTAGGTGACCTTCAACACGCGTGTGCAATAGTAAAACGAGTGCACAGCTTCCAGCACAGCTGTGGAGCTGAGCCGGGAGCAGCGCTGCGCGTGCCCCGGCACCAGAGCCAAGAGTCCACGTGGCCCACGCGTGGATTGGGCCTTCGTGTTTCCCACCACAAGGGCCGTGCATAGGAGGGTGTGGGACCCGGGGCAAATCCCACTGTGGGCCCCCCGACGCCTTCAAACTAAACCGGGAGTATTACATCACGCCACGTGACGTGAAAGCCCCCCCCCCCCCAAAGCGCCCTTCCCCTCCGCACCAAAAGCGCGGGGCCCGGGGCGGCCGCACCGATTCGTCGTGTACCCTAGGGACGGCTCTGCCCCGCCACTCATGCTGCACAGCTATGACTGGAGTTGCGATATGATTTGAGGCTGTATACAAAAGCGCATGAATGTACAATATAAACGTGTACAACAATTCTTGTACGTGTATCTGTCCTGCAAACTGCGAATGGCTCATTAAATCAGTTATGGTTCCTTTGATTGCTCGACTGTTGCTTGGATAACTGTGTTAATTCTAGAGCTAATACATGTACAGTGAATATAAAAAACACGTGTTTGGACAGGGGGAACCTCACTCACGAGCCCCGCCCCCTTACTCACGAGTCCCGCCCCCTCACCCACGCGCCCCGCCCCCTCACCCCTACCAAGGAGCCCTCGCCCCCTCCCATAGTCCCGCCCACTCCCACAAGAGCTCCGCTCCTGCCGCCGCCTCCACATGCGCGCCCCACGCCTCTTGCTGCCCACGCTTTGCCGCCGCCTCGCTGCGTCTCGCCCCGCGCCGCCGCCGCCGCTGCCTCCCAGCGCGCCTGCGCGCCGCGAGCTTCACGCGGCGCCGCACCCCGCCATGGCGCTGAGCCGCTTCGCGTACACGCGCGGCTTCGAGCGCGAGGACGCGTGCCTGCCCGACACGTGGGTGGTGGTGCGGCTCGACGGGAGATCCTTCCGCAAGTAGGGCGCACTGTACCCCCTCCACACGCACACTCAGGGCTCAACAACCACCACGGCACCGCAAAGACAAAGAGCCCTCGTGTAGCTTTAACAGACTGTTGGGACAAGTGCTCTGCGAGCGAGTAGCACCTTTGAAGGCGGGGGGGGGGGCACGGCACACGAAGGGGTGAGTGGCCGAGTCAACCTAGGAGAGGCCCGTGACAGGTTCCGATAATAGTCGCTGGGGTTGGCCGTGAGCGGGAATCGAACTCCCACATCAACACAACAACACCCCCATTCGCCACGAAGTAGCGGGACATCACCACGGCGGTTGTGCCAGGCGAGGTCGTACGTCTTGAGAGTACGTCAAGTGCCGAAAGCTCGCTGCTGGCAGAAGGTCCCGGGACACACCCTGTCACCCACCCACTCATTCACACCCACTCATTCACACCCACTCATTCACACCCACTCATTCACACCCACTCATTCACACCCACTCATTCACACCCACTCATTCACACCCACTCATTCACACCCACTCATTCACACCCACTCATTCACACCCACTCATTCACACCCACTCATTCACACCCACTCATTCACACCCACTCATTCACACCCACTCATTCACACCCACTCATTCACACCCACTCATTCACACCCACTCATTCACACCCACTCATTCACACCCACTCATTCACACCCACTCATTCACACCCACTCATTCACACCCACTCATTCACACCCACTCATTCACACCCACTCATTCACACCCACTCATTCACACCCACTCATTCACACCCACTCATTCACACCCACTCATTCACACCCACTCATTCACACCCACTCATTCACACCCACTCATTCACACCCACTCATTCACACCCACTCATTCACACCCACTCATTCACACCCACTCATTCACACCCACTCATTCACACCCACTCATTCACACCCACTCATTCACACCCACTCATTCACACCCACTCATTCACACCCACTCATTCACACCCACTCATTCACACCCACTCATTCACACCCACTCATTCACACCCACTCATTCACTTCCACTCTTAACCAGCCTCACTCAACCACCCATCCATCAACCCATTCGCTCACCTATTCAACCACCCACTCGCTCAGCCACTCGCTCACCCATCCACCTACCCACTCACCACACTGCGGGTGCTACTGTAGGCCTTTTCTGTTTTTCCCATCCCGTCGTCACTCATCCCAAGCTCAATGCAGTCCTTGCTCGGGTTCAAAAACGCATTCAGCCTTACCGATTGCCACTTTGGGAGTGCTGTTTGTTGCCGGCCCCTTTGACGTGCTGGGCCTGTGCTCAGCAACTGTGTTAAACAACCAACACGCGCTGCTCTCAAGAGCCTCCACCGCGTGCCGAGTTGTCGCAGCAACCCAGCGGGCGATGTTGCTGCTGCTGCTGTGATCCCAATTAGTCCTTGGGCCAGACCACAAATCGGTACCACCCAAGTTGGAAAAACTTAAATGGTGCCATTTTATTTGTTACACCAACAGAAGTTAAATAATACATGATAACCTTTCCACCTGATGATGATTGCTTGTGTTGCAGTCGACACGTCGTGAAAATTCTTTGTTTTATATTTTTATTATTTTATTGTTTCCCTTCTACGTGACTTTACTGAAAGAACCAAGAATATATATCTGTTCAGTAAACATATCTAAAGTGCTAACTTTACCCTCAATATATTGTTAATGTACCTGTTAAGATTAGTTAAGGCCAGGTACTACAGGCAAAAATGATTTTTGTTCAGTTTGTCAATTTTGATATTTTGCTTCTATAAATTGTAAACTTAATAACATGCACACAATTATTAAATTCATTAAAACGAACTGTTTTGTAAATAGTTTTTACGATTTTTTATGATCTTCGCCAAATCAAGCCTTAAATTAGCGTTTTTTTAGCATCTTTCATCGCAATTACTACAGCAGTGTATACTGACTGGTGGTACTTGCTATGATTACAGTAGTGCATACTGTGCTGGTACCTGCTATGATTCCAGCAGTGCATACTGACTGTGGTGGTACCTGCTATCATTACAGTCGTACATCCTGACTATAGCAGTATATATTGACTCTATAGCACAAAGTACTCACCTGATAGTGACGTGGTGAGGCCTAGTCCCGTGCAGAGCCCCCAGCCTCGCCTAGATTGCCCAGCCGGCAGGCTGGGGGCTGGGCTGCTATCCCAGCCACCCTCCCCACCATCCCCCCACCTGCGCTACAATAATACTATCTAAGCGCTATTATATTAGTATTTACTGACCCTAAAGTAGTAAGTGGACACTTTGGGGTGGGGTGAGGGGAGAAGAGGACATGACATTTTGATGAATTTACCTCAGCGTTGTGTATTTTTTTTGCATTTTGAACGCGTTGCTAGGGGCAACCATGGGGCAGCTTTAGCGGCGCGAGGAAATACATAATGAAAAATAGCACTCAGTTGTTAATTTTTCTACTTTAAAGTTGACGGATGGGAAAACGGAATAGCGCTGGCTCACCACGGGGCTTATGGCGTGGTACCTGGCTACTTTAAAAAATATAAACCCCATGGTTTGCGGGCCAAATCCTTCGCAAGTTGTGTCCACACAGACAGACAGACAGACGGACGGACAGACAGACAAAAAATGCCATTTATCGGTAAGATTACATGTGTCATTGACTAGGTATATGTGAATGTCAATGTTTATAATATTCAAGAAGTTCCTTACCTCACGATGGTATTCCTTATTATCCTGTATTTTCATTGTGATTTGAACCAATAAAGACCAGTTTGTGACCTAACTGGCTTTGGTCTAGGTAGTTTTTCAGTAATAATGCCCATTTCATCGTTCCATACGCCTGTGCTAAGGTATGGGTATAAAAGTCATGGTAACTACAGTTAAGCTGCCACTCCGCAAAGGTTATAATATCAGAATATGTCCCACACACAGGGAGGATTACAAAAATCATTACTAGGCTTTGCCACCTCAGGTTGTACCAATAAGTGATTGTTTTGGTCTGAGCCCATGGACTAAATTGAGTGATTTGCAGGTTACAGGTGTCTCCCATACCTGCTGTCAACCCCTTATCAGTGCTGCCTGCCTTATTGCAGTGTTGTTCCCCAATACGGAGGCACACACTCTGGACTGGGAGGCAACACTGTTATTTAACAACTTTCCTAGCAGGTAACACTGAACGTAACTTGGGTTCTATAGTAGGTGATGTGGCTAACTATGTGAATAGCAAATTAACTCTAGACGAAGACCCGGAGACGATGAGACACGGGAGCCAGGCTTGATTCCACAGACGAGCCCAGAACACTCTCGGGTCTGCCCCTTTATGCTCCCGAGTGTGGCCTCGCTCCGCCTTCGGCCATGCCCCCTTCAAGACCTTTCCCGAATTATCTCGACCGAGCATCACGTGCCCCACTCAGGCTACCACGCCCTTCCTTGCCCTCTCTCACACCATCACCAGGACCTTGCCCCCTAGGGCTGGCTGACATGCCATACTTTGGTGCTCGAGAGAGGCTCCAGACGCACAATTGCACTCCTGTAACAGTAGCTGGCGCGAAGACCCTAGTGACACCATTTACGTCACTACATTATTTCAGACCAATTCAGACCTGATTGGTCACCCCGTGCCCCTTATAAATCTGAACGTTCATCCTACCAAGTCCCATTACAAGGGAGTAATACAAATAAACACATTTTTGTGCCCGTATTAAAATAGCAGTACGCCGTATGGACCTGAAAACTCAATTAGCTTGTACAATAATACGTGTAAACCGTATGGGTTGACAGGTATGGGTGACCTTCGATTAGCGAAAGTGGGATGCGTTCTTCAAAAAAACACGGGTGCAACAAAAACGGTCTGTTCTCGTGTAACGCGGTAGGGGCGTTCCTGAAGAACACCGCGTTATGGAAAAATCACGTCATAATATATAATGTAGGGCAAAGCACAGTCCGCAATAACACGATGCGTATGCAGGCCGAACAAGGAATGAGGCATGTGGGTAGCGTCTAGAAACATCCAGCAGCATCGCACCTTGTGTGATGATGCTATGCTTAGGCAGCTGTACAACCGCTTATTCCTACTCACGCGCCGTAGTTCTCTTCATTCAATCGCGTTACAGGGACTCCTCTACTTTTGAACGAGTTAGGTTCCAGAGGTCTGTTTCGTAAGTCGATTTGTTCGTAAATCCAACTTTACTCCTGTCAATTCCAAAAATGTTGTACGGCATGTACACTAAACACGGGGAATGGCTTTAAAAGTTGTATAATCTCCTGTAGATGTAGATAGCACTTGTTCTTCATGTTCTGCAGATGTAGATGTCACTACCGCCATCTATTGTGCGGTGGTTGAACTTTCGACTCTCGGTCCGAACAGGCAACTGGACATACGGACAGGTTTGTTCGTATCTCTGAAAGTTTGTAAGTCGAATGTTTGTAAGTAGAGGAGTCACCGTATATCCAATTCGCGTTATATCCAATTAGCGTTATGAAAACACACTTCATATGAGAACAGACTATCGTAAATTCGAATAGCTTTTTCCATTAATTTAATACGAAAAATTATGGATGCGTTTCCCGCAGTCATTCCAACTCAACTCCTAACCTAAAAATTTCCACCAATATCACTTTTCCCAAAACAAAAATAACGTAAATATTCAAACGATTTAATAATAACTTAAAACTAAAATAATTAACGTTTTCAATGAACTGATCAAAAGATACCGTAACGCTGTCACGAATGGATGAAGCAGCCTCCTGTGCGTTTCATGTTTGGTGATGTCACGACGCGTGCCATAGTGAAATTTCATTAACACGGAAATAAGATTTTATTAATCAAACAGTGTCCGTAATTTGTCAATTGCGTTCACGCAAAATTTCGTGAACTGCAAATCGTTGGTAAATCGAGGTGTAGCTGTTATTTCTCAGCATTGGGATATTTGGACAAAACCAGTTACTTTTTTTTAGATATCGGAAGAAACCCAAGAATTCAGACGAGCAACCCATGCAGAACAAACAAAGAAGGGCGTGGGTTCGATTCTTAAACTCGGGTGCGTTTCTGCATGGCTTTTGTTCTCCCGATGTTTAACTGTGGGAGAACCCGGAAGAGAGAGACACACACGGAACGGCGATGCTGACATGGCTTGTGTCGGCGGTGTCTGCTCCACGATGCAGGTTCGCTGAGGACCACGGGTTCGTGAAGCCCAACGACGCCCGTGGGCTGCGCCTCATGGCGCACTGCGCGGCGCACGTGGTCACGGAGCTGGACGACCTCATCCTGGCCTACGGGCAGAGTGACGAGTTCAGCTTCGTGTTCCACCGCAAAACCAACTGGTTCAAGCGAAGGGCCAGGTAACCACCACCATCACCGTCGTCACTCTTGCCTCACAGTCAGGGCCATCCATAGGGGGATGCGGGGCCTGGGAAAATCACACTGTGCGCCCTTCCCCCGACGCCTTCAAAATAAACCAGAAGTATTACATCTAACACTGTGACGTCGAAGCACGCCCCCCCCCCCAAAACGCGGGGCCCGGGGCAGCCACCCTGATTTGCCGTACCTTAAGGATGGCTCTGCTCACAGCAGAAAGGCCTCGGTTTGATTCCTGAATCGGCCGCCTTCCTGTGTGCAGTTTGTATGTTCTTTCTCCCTCTGGTTAAGTGGCAGTACAGTAAATCTCCGTTTAAAACGCGTGGCGTTCACACTACACATTTTAGCTTGAACGCGATTTTTCTTTTATTGGAACGTTTTCCACTTAACGCGTACCGTGCCTGCTATAACACGAGTCTAGAGCGTGACGGACAACTTTTCTGAACAGCGTGGGTATTGGCAGCATTGTTCGGTGATTCTGGGAGCTGGTCCTGTAGTACTGATGTGTGCTGTGATACATGGCACACCTTCCTGTTCCTCAGTCTTTGTTCTGGCATCTTTGTGTGTGAAGTGTCATCTCACTCCCTTATCTTTTCACTCGCCATATCTTTCACACACTTAATATTTAAACGACTATTACACATAGCATATGTATAGCAAATATACATAAACACAGCACATTAAAAATAAACATGTGAAACAGTGGGCTGTCAAATAAAAACAATAAAATTATGGGCTGGAACAGCACCCCTACCTTTGCCATTATTCCTTATGGGAAAATAACTCCTGCTTAAAGCAAATTCGTTTTACATGCTAATTTTCAGGAATGCAACCCCCACGCTTAACATGGACTTTGAAGTCTAAATAGTGTTGAGTCTTTCCTGGGTAAACAAGAATTGTAATAACAATATAAATAACGTAACGGAAATATCATGGGACCTTTTTTTGTCAATGTCAAAGTATTAAAAATAAGAATAGGTTTTTACCCTTTCTGGCAATAAAACAGGAGGTGTTAAGATGCCCAAACACCAAATAGATACCTTTTGTAGGCCAATCAGTTTCAAAGACAATGCATTTTTATCAGAGCATGTTTTATTTGCATGTTCACCACAAGTATGTGTGGTTAATGCAGACTTGATTTATTGCAAAATATATCTATTTGGTGTTTGAACGTCATAGCACCTGTTTTATTGCCAGAAAGGGTAAAACATATTATTTTTCATAACTTAACGGAAATACGTGTCTCTCTGTGTCGTCCCGCGGCAGTAAGTTCATGACGCAGGTGGCTTCGCTCTTCTCCTCGGCGTTCGTCTTCTACTGGGACAAGTTCTTCGCGCCGGAGCGGCTCCTCTACCCCCCAGCCTTCGACGGCCGCGTTGTGCTCTACCCCACAGAGCGGCATCTGCGGGACTATCTGAGCTGGCGCCAGGCCGACTGTGAGCACAAACTCCTCCATGGGAATCTGCCTCCTGATATAACCTTTGCTCTTGAATTACACCTCAAGAGTAATTCTAGTAGTTCAATTGACAACTTGAGACTGGATATCCTTGTTAAATGTTGTATCATAGGAAATAAGCTTAAAGGGTTGTGTAAAGGGAGGGAGGGTACGATTGCATCCTCCTTATGGAAACGTGTTTAAGATCATTTGGCTGCTATAAATGTGAACATGATAAGCCACTTTGCTGAGCTATCATTTATGGCTAGGTTGCTTCTGAAACAGAGCTATATAACTCAGCGGGCCTTACCTGGTGAAATTAAAACGTTTATATTTTAGTTTATAGTTTTATGTGCGGCTCCAAGTAGAACCACGGAGGGATTCTCAAGTCGGTGATTCTCAATCTCCACCCCCCCTCCTCCTTCAATGGGGCAGGCCACATTAACAACCTCTACAACACCGTGTTCTGGGCGCTGGTGCAGAACGGGGGCCTCACCACTACCCAAGCCCAGGAACGGCTCAAGGTGAAGTCTGGGGCTGTCACCCACGTGTGTGCAATTGACAAATATCTCCACGTCTTGCCTCTGCACGTGCTGGCAGCGTGAATGCGTCGGTGAAACTCCTTTTCGCACTCCCCTTACTCTCACGTTTCTCATGGTCATAATCACCTCATGCGGTTGTTTGGTGCATTCACAGCTGACGGTGGCGGCGGACAAGAATGAAATCTTGTTTTCAGAGTTCGGTATCAACTACAACAAGGAGCCGTTGCAGTTCCGCAAGGGAACTACCATCATCTGGGAGAAGGTGCTCGCACGCAGGCCAATCCCATACGCGCGCCGAGAACATGCAGAACGCTGGCCGCTTATCGAGTTACTCAATGTTTTCGCGGCTATCACAGGGCGTTAGCATGGTTGGCGACGTACAGTGCGAAAGAAGTTGAACATACATACTAATATCGGAAGAAAGACCGTGCCAGACAGCCGCAGAAGCGGATCTGAAAGCGCGCGATGCACTGACCGTCTTTGTTCGATGGTTCGCCAAAAACCACTGCAAGGATGACCAGAGTTTGTGTGATGGTTTATGCTCTTTGATGAGATCAGCAAGTTGTTTATACAGAGTGTGAACCTCACCCAGGTTATTTCCAGTCAAAATCTACACTTTTTTATATATAAACTAGCGGGAAGTACCCAGCGTTGCCCGGGCGAAAAAGACAACCACACATACATCGACTTACAGACATGGGCCCACACAAACACATCGACCCACACACACACATGCATTGACTCGCACACACACGCATACATACTCACACACACATCGACCTACACGCACACACATATGGACTTGCACAGGCACACATTGACTAACACACACATGGACTTACACACACATGGACCCACGCACACACATCAACTTACACACATCGACTCACACACGCACATAGAGCCACACACATATCCACTTACACGCAGACATCGACGTACACACACAGCGACTCACACACACACACACATAGACTGACACACACACATGGACTTACACACAGACAAACATCGACTTACACACACACAAACACATCGACTTGCACACACACACATCTACTTATACACACACGATGAACGTACACACACAAACATCGACTCACACACACACATCAACTCACACACGCACACACATACAGCGACTCACACACACATCGAGCTACACACACATCGACCCACATACACACAGCGACTGACACACACACATGGACTTACACACACACACTCATATATCGACTTGCACACATCGAATTTCAAAAACACACACACACATCGACTCACACATGGATGTACACGCACACATAATTTTTTTTTTATTTTCACTTACACACATGGACTCGCACACACACATGGACCTACACACACACAAAGAAATGTACTTAAACACTCACATGGAGCCAAGCACACACATCGACTGACACACACACGTCGACTGACACACACACATATCGACTCATGCACACACACAGACTTACACACACACATCGACTTATACACACGCATGAACGTACACACACAAACATCGACTCACACACACACACATCAACTCACACATGGGCATCGACTCCCACACACATCGACGCAGACACGCACATCGACGCAGACACGCACACATGGACTTAGACACACACTCACACACACACATTATTATTGTAAAAATGACTAACTTAACTGTTAAATATTTGTTGTCTACACACACACACCACGCACACACATTGACTAATACACACACATCGACTGACAACACACAAATACATCAACCCACACGCACACATATCGTATCGACTTGCACACACATACACAGCGACTCACACACATCCACTTACACACACAGATATGGACTTACACACAGCGACTCATACACACATCCATCTACACACACAAACATCGACTTACACACACACATGGACTTACACACACACGGACTCACACATACACATGGACTTACGCACGCATATATATCGACTTACACACACATCGACTCACACACACATACATAAACACACACACATAGATAAACACACACGCATAGATAAACACACACACACATAGATAAACACACACACACATAGATAAACACACACACATAGATAAACACACACAACAACAACAACCGCCATTCGCCACTAAGTGGCGGTGACGTCACCACGACGCTTGTGCCAGGCTATGTGCACCGTGAGGCCACGTGAAGTGTCGAACGCCCGCTGGCAGGAGGTCACTGGGCAGACCCAGGTGCCACGGGTCGACTGACTGAGATGACTGGCTGATGCACCACCTGTGCCCCCTACTGTGCCAACCTGCTGTGCTGTAGCCACCCGGCGCTCCGCTCGTTGTTGTGAGCGTCGCTCCTCCGCCCTCCGTTGTTGTTGGAGGGCGACTGCCTCCAACTGCCCAGTAGCATCCTTCACGAGCCTCCTCCACAGAGGCCGATCTTGACACCGCTGGTACCAGTCATCGGCAAGTCCACTCAGCTCCACGTCCTCCTGTACCACATCACTCCATCTCTTCTCTAGCCCGTGCCGCGCCCGCTTAGCCCCCTCAATCCGGCCAAACAAAAGCTGTTTCGGCATGCGGTGGCTGGGCATGCGGGCTACATGACCCAGCCATCGCAGCCTTGCCTGCCGGAGGAGCTCACCGATGGGACCCTGCCCAGATCTTTCAAGGATTTGTGAGCTCCTCACACAATCCAGTCTGGTTAAACCCAGGATGGATCGTAGGCAGGCCAGCCTAAATGTTTCTAACCGGCGAAGATGTTCCATTAGGGGGGTCCACGTTTCGCAAGCGTAGAGAAGGGAGGGAATGACCGTTGCCGAGAAGACCTGAAGCTTAGTGCGGAGCGACAGACCAGGTAGCTTCCACACAGCGTTACGCAACCGATGAAAAGATATTGCCGCTCGACTGATTCGGAGTGAGACCTCTGCTGTTAAACTGGAGCCAGTCATAAGCACATTGCCCAGGTATGGGAAACTCTCCACTCTCTCCACAACTGCCCCATCACCGATTGGGAGTTGTGGGGGTGGAGTGTCCGATGGTACAAAATACCCAGGCAGGTGCTTAGTTTTGGTGGGGCTGATGGTAAGGCCCCACCTCTTAGTGGCACGCTCCAGTCTCAGCAGCAGCATCTCCAACTCCTCCTCTGACTGAGCAGCTATTACCAAATCATCAGCATACATAACGTGGTTGAGCAATAGGGAGCCATCCCTTGACCGCACCCGGGCATCGATTAGCCTCCCATTATATCTGTACCATATGGAGATTCCCCCGGTACAGCTATTGAAGGCTTCACGAACTACGTGGTCAAAATAGATGTTAAATAATGTGGGAGCCAGAGGACATCCCTGTCGCACCCCAAGGTGTACAGGGAATGGCTCTGACTCCCGGCCACGTAGTTTTACCCGGGCCCGCTCACCATCATGAAGGTCCTTAATGATCGTGAGCAGAGGGTCAGGTACTCCAAAAGCACGAAGAACGACCCAGAGCCCAGGCCTACTGATGGTATCATAGGCCTTGACCAGGTCAATAAAGCAGAGATGTAGGTCTTGTTGGAATTCCCTACACCTCTGCTGTAGCAGACGGACAGAAAATATGGCATCTGTGCAGGACCGCCCTTTCCTGAAACCGCATTGGGGCTCCGCAAGCCTCTCCTCAGCGTGCCTGGCAAGGCGATGCTGAATAATCCTTGCCAGGACCTTTCCCGGCACACTTAGGAGTGAGATGCCCCTGTAGTTGTTACAGTCTGTGCGGTCCCCCTTCTTAAAAAGGGGGACCACCAGGGCATCCTTCCAATCCTGCGGAACCCGTCCAGTGGTCCAGACTGTTGTTATGATGTCATATAGGGCAGTCTGTGCACAAACGCCACCCTCCCTCAGCATTTCGCTTGGGAGATCATCTCTGCCCGCTGCCTTTCCTGGTCTCAGACTCCGGATCACCTTCAATACTTCCTCAGCAGATGGCACCTCAGCCAGCCACTCACAGGGGGTGACTTCTTCCAATATTTGAGGCACCGCAGCCTCAGCAGGGTCATCCTCACTTTGTGCCACGATGTTTTCCTGGCTGAGGGATTTTCCCTCCCCCAGGACCTCACAGAAATGCTCAGCAAATCTGCGAACCTGTTCCTGGGGGTCGGAGATTGGATCACCGTTTTTTCCCCTAATGATGGTAATAGGTGTGGCGCTGCAGGTTACTTTTTTGATGGAGTTAAATAGAGATTTGTGATCACGGGCCACTGAGGCAGACTCCATCTCCTCAGCAACCCGCGACCACCACCCATCCTTGCAGCGCCTCACGGCTCTCCGAACCTCCGAGCGAAGGCTGCGGTAAGCCTCCTCATTCTCTGACGTGGGATTCTGTAGCCGATGACAGTGGGCCTGTCGCTTTTTCTCAACCATCCTGAACACCTCCTCTGTCAGTCAGGGTCTCTGGGGAGGTCTCGACCGCGTACCCAAAGCAGCCATTGCAGCTGCATGAGTCACAGTCCTAAACCTCGCCCATTTACCCTCGACATCAGGAGGAGTCGGGGACGATGCCAATCCCAGCCGCAAGCGATGATGAAATTCTCGCTTGCAACTTTCATCAGATAACTGAGACCAGGCCACTTTATGTTGGAATGGGGTCCTGGGTGTACACCCACCACTGGAGTGGAAGAATGGCAGGCGCATCTTACAGATGACTAGTCGATGGTCAGAGGGCAGATCAGCTCCACGGTAGGTCCTGGTGTCAAGGACATGGGCTCGCATTCGCTGGTCCGTCACTATGTAGTCCAGCAGATGTTCTTGCTTGGACCCGGCATGCATCCATGATGTTGTGTGGATGCGCCGATGCCGGAACAGCGTGTTGGTAATTACAAGCCCATGGGCTGCACAAAAATCTAGCAGCCTCCTACCGTTGTTATTGAGCTGATCTGGCCCATGCCCTCCAATCACTCCAGACCAGGTGCCAGTATCATGACCAACTCGGGCATTGAAGTCATCCAACATGATGACTCTATCCCGAGGGGCCACTTTAGCCAGCACCTGTGACAGGAGGTCATAGAAGGCATCTGACTCATCGGCTTTGCCTGCATCCCTCCACGGATGTTCATCTTCGGTGGGGGCATAAGTAACCACGACCACCATTCCTCGCCTCCGGTTGATGGGAAGGCGAGCCCAAAGTAGCCTGGGGCTTACAGCTTCCCACACCTCACCGCCACGCTCCCACGCCCACTTCATTCTTTTGTTCAAAAGAAGACCCACACCCTGTTGTTTGGCAGTCTGCTGCCCCGAGTAGAGAACTGTCCACCCCTCATGGTGGCAGGAGCCAGAGCCGGTCCACCGGACCTCCTGAATGCCGCATAGATCCAGGCGGTACCGGTCCAGCTCCCGACAGAGGAGTGGCAGCCTCTCCTCTGCAGTGAGCGTTCGAACATTCCACGTGGCCACCCATAGTGGCTTTTCGTTGTTTCTGGAGGAGCCCCGAGGGTGGAGATTCAATCTCCTGGCTCCGCCAATTGGGGTTTGGCCAGGAGACGTCATAGACGCCTGGCCCCCCGGGGCCTCCGGCACAAGCTTATTAGTTACATATTTCAGTTTAATTCGTGGTTTCGTGGTAATTAATTGAAGGTGGAGGGGTTACCAGCCCCTCGCACCCGTCCAGAGCCCCCGTTTAGCCCCTGTGGTGGACACATATGCCATGAGGGGAGGAGCCAATCAAAATTGGATCTCCCCCCACAGCACTGTCCACGACAGAGTTGCCCGTCCGGCACCGCGAAGAGGTAGAGGGTTGTTTTGCCGGACTCACACACATGGACTCACACACATCGACTTGCACACGCACATATCGACGTACACACACACATGGACTGACACACGTACAGCGAGTCACACACACACATGGACTATAACACACACTTGGACTTACACTGACACAAGTGTAAATTAAATGTAAACAAAGTTAAAATAGTTCTTGACAAAGTCCTGCTCGCAACAGGAAAGTTTGTGGGGAAAAATACACAATGGCTGTACTTTGTTGTCTTAAGGAAATGAAATAGAACAGTTGGTATGCAGGGGACAAAAGCCTGTTACATAGTGTTAAAAAAATTAGCACGAGCGAAAGTGTACAAACTCATAATAGTTTGTGACGTAAAGTCCTGCTCACAAGAGGAAAGTTTGCATGACAAAAGACAATGGTTGTACTTTGTTGTCTTAAGGAAATGAAATGTAACAGTTAGTACCCAGGGGAAAAAGTGTGTTAGATAGTGTATATTACCGAAGGAACCAAAGAGTATCGTGTATATTTACTGCCATAAAACATTGGTTAATGTCTACGATGTATTATGAAAGAGCAGTAATATTAATGAGAGAAATAAGATAGACATATGTTTGAAAGGAGCTGTAATTCCGTGTGTTACCTTGCGCAGTGTCCACACGAAAGATAAATGCCCCCTCACCCCCCACCGAACGCGTATGACTTGGTAGGGGCCCTCCCTCCCACCGAACGCGCGTGAGTTGGTATGGTCGAGCACGTGCTATGTAATAAATAAGTAACGGAAAACAGCACTGAATCGCTAATTAAACTACTTTAAAGGTGACGGACACGAAATCGGAATAGCGCTGGCTCAGCACAGGGCTTATGGCGTGCTACGTGGCTACTTTTAAAAAATGTATACCCCACAATTTGTGAGACAAATCCTTCGCAAGTTTCGGTCACACACACGGACAGACAAAACAATGACATAGGTAAGATGAGCTGACCAAAATGTCCTCTTCTCAGCAGGTGGTCTCCGGACACCAACTAAAGGAGACTGAAGCCGCTTCCCATGGGGAAGCCGACCCAGGGAAAGGAGGTGTCATTGAGAAGGAATGCAGTGGCAGTCGAGACCTTGTGGACAGGTCTGCGGATGAGCCCACGGCAGAGGGCAGTCCTGAACAGCGGCGGGAGCGCCCTTTGGGAAGCGGTGATCGTGTCGGCGAGGTGGAGGAGTCCGTGTCTGCGAAGCGACCGAGCGATGGTGAGCCAGCGGCGAGTTACGGCGTGGACGTTGAACCAAATGCTGCATCCGATTCTGCGAGCCGGTGTGCGACTCCGGAAACCCCAACAGAGGGAAGGCGTGCCTCGCGGAAGGCCAAGGGAACGGACAAAAGGCAGGAACAGCAGCGCAAGGTGGTGATGCTACACGAAGACATCATTGGGGATTCTTTCTGGGAAAAGCACCCAGATATCCTCGCAGACTTTTCAATAAAAAATAGTAAAAGCCTCACGCTTACAAAAGTAACCAACTGAGGAAAAGTTCGACCGTAAAGATCAACAACAATACATTATGGAACAGCTTCATTATTCGGTCAGGAAAATTTATTATTTTTATTAAAAAAAAGTTTGTCGGCTTTATTCTTATCTTTGGACATTGTGGCTCTGCTCTTCACGCAGCACGACTGCTGATGCAAAAGATTTCCACTGTTTTATTTCACAAACTGTATCTTGACAGCTCATACACCAACAACCCAGCAGGCCAATCGAGGAGCATGGTTCACTTTGTTCTATTATCCACAGGTTTCCCATCTCCAGCAGGAATAGATACCCATATGGACGGCAGAGTGCCAGCGCAGTGGTTACACTCGTGCCTCACAGCAATAAGTTCCTGGGTTCAATTCTTGGCTCGCGTGCCTTGCTGTGTGAAGTTTGTTCTCCCCCTATTCAGTATGGGTTTCCTCCAGGTTATCTAGTTTCCTCCCAAAGCTAAAAATAAACATACCATGCAACTGGGTTTGACCAAACATCCCAATGCTGAAAAAATACCTCAATTGGGATTACACGCAGCAGAAAACATCGCTCACTACTGCGAAAAACCTGGCATGACCCTCCTGAAAAGTCTTGACTCAGGCCTTCCTGCGTATACGAGTGCACGGTTCATGGCTATGTTGTTCAGTGACCAGGACACAGGGTTTCAAAGCCAAACCGCGGTTTATTATGACATTTCTTTAAGGCGGCTGGCAAAGGAAAACATGTTTTAGTGTACCACCATTGATAAGAACTCCCAGTGAGAAAAATAGGCCCCTCAGGAGAACAGTCCCCTCTTAGAAGACAACAATCTGAGCACTCACGCGACACAAGCATCACGCGACACAAGCATCGCGCGACACAAGCATCGCGCCGCAGTCACGCACCACGTGTTGTTTTGCCCCAGCCCTGAGCATGCCGGTTGCTCTGGATCGACAGTCTCATTATGTTCACCACGCATCTCCTCAGCTCCGATTGCCTCTTGCTGCCTGACCCAGGTCCCCTGACTTTGAAGTATTCGCCAACCTTCAACACCAAATGCTAGAAGCTACTTGGCACAATACTTGTCTATTCGTCTTCTGTTCCAGTCAATTACACTTATATATTTATAGCAGATGGCCCCATCTCTTAAGTCAAAGCTGTTATAAAATAAGAGTTGACCCAAGTATCGGGATGTTTTCCCACTGCTCCTTGGAACAGCAGCAGCACCACCTGCATTGATTTGACCGCAGCGACCTCTGCACTGCAGAGGCAAACCTCCATGTATGTGGGATTTCCCCCAGACAAAGCTGATGAGCACCTGTTATTTGTATTCTTCATATATGGCCGGAGGTGTTAACGGTGGCAAGTTGGCACAGTCCTGCCTCATAGCAAGGGGTTCCTCTGGGTTCGATTACCAACTTGAGCACATTTATGTGTGGAGTAATTTTTTTTATTAACAAACGTGTTTGTATCTTCATTGCACTAACTAGTACAAGTTTCAGCACTTAATGGTTTTTATTTTAAACATTTTGTTTACCTTTGCATCTTACCGTTTAGCGAAAGTTTTCCTGATAAATCAGACTTGTCTTGGTGGTTTTTGATCGCCACGTTTAGCAAAACGAATATAAATTGCGCATGCCTTTCCTTGTCTAGGTATCAAAATATTATTTTGGGCCAGATTTGAGAGGCTAGACTCTTTCAAAACGGAAATGAAAGCCAGTGTTTGAGCGTAGAACTATGCGAGGGACAGGCTGAGGCAGGGGCCAGGCCGGCGGGGAGGCCGAATGGATGCGAAATCGTGACAGGATCATCGCCACGGTGACGCGCAGCTCGTTGAGGGCAAAGTTCTGGCCAATGCAGTTTCTGCAGAGAAAGAAGTCGGGAGCAATGAGCACTCAATATACAGTGGAACATAAACAATGCGGCCTTTAGTGCAATTGTGAACGATAAGGTATGTACCGACAGTCAAAGGCCATTACACTGACAAACGTGTGTTGAATACAGCTCTCTTAAAGCGGTGCATTGCTTAGTTGCTTGTGCTGTAAATGGCATGACAGAAAACAGGTGTGTTATGATTTAAACAATCAGAATAGCAAATAAACCAACAGCGCAATACTTGGGAAGTGACAAGTCTTGACTAACATTTGGCACTTTCCAACCCTTCCCAGCTCAGGTTGACTTAATGCACGAGCTCTCCGTCTGTGTGTAGCATTGGGTCATGATAATCTAAGTGAAATATTTGTTTCAAGTTGTTTAGCTTGTCGGGACTCGGCATATAGAAACTACAGATTTAATTTCCCCTCGCATGTCTTAACCATGCTGCGATAATTCCACAAATTTGGTTGACCATTGATCCTGCGCTCACTGATTCTCACTTATTGTTCGGTCACCGATAATCACTGTCATGTCATGAACGTTAGACTTTGATGCCCATGTCAAGCACTCATTCTGGCAGATTGACTCTTCCCTCTCAGCTGTATTGTGTTCATCCACTCCATTGTAGGACAACTCTTCTCTTCCCGCTTCTTTCCTTGCACTGCTCTACTTTGGAACTCCCTCCAATCAATTTTTTTCCAAGTCGCTGTCATCACCTCCCCTTTGCTTCGGCTGATTTGCACCAACGGGATCAAACTCACTTTTGCCATGGTTCCTGTAACCTTGCTCCCAGAATCAAGTTGTTTATTTGGATTTCATACAATCAAGTTGTTTCATACAGATCGCCCAGGGGTGCAACTATGGGGGTATGCAGCGTTATGCGACGCATTGGGGCCGAGTCAGCCACAAGGGGGGCCCGAATCAACAGATAAACAAGTAAAAACATGTTAAGCAAAATGAAAAATATATAATTAAAAATTACCTGCGGTCTTGACCATTGACCCAAGCCTGATTAATGCATCTGGCTATCATATCGATAGAGCAGCATCAATTTTCACGATCCACCCCCTTTGAGGAAATCATAGACCGACGGGGCCGGCATGAATGCAAGACGCACAATAACTTAATTGTGAGTTACCTTCAAATATATTTTTTTATAAATACTGTCACTGTGAGACTGTCTTTCTCTAAACCCAATACACGGTGCAACTAAAATTAGATAGTTATAGCCTACATATTGGACACGGGGTAAAAAAAATCCGTAGCTATTCCAGTAAAAGTGAGTCGGGAGACAGGAGGGGGGCCCCACAGTGGTATCTTGCCATAGCCACCCCGTTGAAATAGGTGTTTGCTCTCCCTGGTGGTGCGGCAGTGGTGACACTCGTGCCTCACAGCAAGAGGACCTGGTTTCGATTCCTGACGTGGGTGCTCCTCTCTGAGGAGTTTGTTCTCTCCTTGTTCTGCGTGGGTGTCCTTCGGGTTCTCAAATCCCCCTCCCAAATAGCAAAAAAAAATACAATGTAATAGGTATTGGTCAAACGCCCAATACTAAAAATTGCCTGCAAATTACTTTCAGATTACACAGCAACATTGCCTCATCATGCGGAAAACCTAGCAGGACTGTCCATAAAAAGTGTCTTGAGACTCAGGAATTCCTGGATAAACGAGCGGAATAATCTGGAAGCCAAGCATAAATATTCCTTGTTGTGGGCCGGTTTTTATAGGAGGCATTTAGGCCCGTGCCCAGCATCTGTAATAGAGATGCATGTTCGTGTAAACCTATGAAGCCCGCGTGTCTACGCGTGACTAACCGTGGTCCAGCAGAGAATGGAATAAAGGCGTACGGATGTCTGTGTGCGGAATTCTCCGGAGAAAACCGCAGCGGATCAAAAACCTACAGAAGCATCCACGCACATGACACACTTGCATGTGAGCACAAACACAACTCATCTCCTGATAGGTAAGTTCGGTGTGATATAAGTGAGTACTGCTGCTGAGCCCCACCTTTCGGGTGTCAACATTGTGCGAAGATAAGCGTGTTGACTTGACGGCCTCGAATTACGAATTTTACCAAACATGAGGGTTTTCCAATATAAGAAAAGAGACTTAAAATATTTCAAAACTGTCGGCATGATCTTAGAACAACCTGAATCGTGATTGGAAACTACATATGGTATTTCAATAGGCACATACAGATGTTTGTATATAATTAACACAGCGGGGCACTGCCATACATACCTCAGGATCCTTCCAGAATTCCTCATTTCTATGAATGCAGAAGATGCTGACGCCGACCCGCATCCCTGCGTCGTACACACACACACATCACCTCGCTGTGCATCGCCACGACGAGACACGGCATCGCTCATCGCAAGACATCGGCTGAGACTGCGTGTGCAGAGCGTTGTAGGGAGATGAGCGGTGGCGCAGCGGTTAGCGCGCTGTGTTACGGAACTGGCGAACCGGGACCGAATCCCGCTCACGGCCAGCACCAGTAACGATTATTTGAACCGGTCCTGGGGCTCCCCTAGGTCGACTCAGCATTAAATGAGTACCTTGTGCGCTTTGTCAACATCGCCACTGGAGAGATAAAGGCGACCAGGCGTGGTGCTGGCGAGCCACCCCCTGCTGTGCCGTGCCGGCTTTCATTAGGTGCTCGCTAACAGCACTTGCTTCTATAGTCGGTGAAGGCTACATGGGGATTCTTTGTCTAGGGAGATGGCAGTGCAACGATAAGGTGATAATCTTATATAGAACTATATGGCTGCTTAATCCAAGGCACTTTACAAGATGATAGTGGTTCAAATAAAGAGTGGGGTTATTAAAAGTGGTGGTTTAGTTATGGTGACAGGACAGCTGAGAGTGGTTAAGGAAGGGTAGTGATAGGGGTTGTCGTAGGGGTTGGCCTGGTCGTAGCTGGGGGGCAGGGAGTAGCAGTCGGATGGGCTAGGGAGGGTTCTCGGGGAAGTACGAAAGCAGGTTAGAGTGAAGATCATTGCTGTGTGCTGCAGTGGGAGGTTTTTTTTCACAGTGAAGATGAGTCAGAAAGGAAAAGGAACAAGAGAGCGAGACTGGGGACTGGGCGAGGGGGCACAGAGAGGGACAGACAGGGACCGTAGAAGACGGGATGGGACAGACATAAGCAAGGTGCGAAAGAAGTTCAACGTACACAAGATAATGTGGGGCCAAGACCATGGAGGGATTTAAACACTAGACCAAGGATTGGCAACAAAAATAACAAGAGCCATTTATTTTTCCAATTCGGTAAAACTCAATTTGAAAAGGAGCGATGCAATGTGAATACGAGACGGCGGTCGTTAATAAAATCACATCACGTGGTTTATTAAATCACGTCACTTGGTTTATTACGCCGACCGCATGCATGACCGCGTGCTCCAGTCAGCTCCGGAGCTGACCCCTGTACTCGACCTCAGCCACAAAATACATCAACCGAAAATAATAACTGAATGAACAAATCCTTCTGTTGGAGTGGAGTCTGGGAGTACAGATGCTCACAGCGGCGCAATGTCACTGCAGGTCGGAGATCTATGTGTAGTGTTCGATTTCACTCGGACAACTTTTGTCTTTCTTCGAACACCGCTTTATTTACAACTCTCAACATTTTACAGTATCCATGTCGCCACGGCTCGCTCGCCGTGCTTCACTCGACTCGCTCGCCACCTTGGTCTCTCCACTCCCCACGATTACTTCGCTTACTCCGCCACTAACTTCTTCGTCTCCGCTCTTCGCTATCACCGTCACTATGCTCTCTCCACCGCTAACTACTTCGTCTCTATATTCTTAGTTTTTTCGGTAAAGTCACGTTGAAGAGAAACAACAAAATAACAAAATATATATAAAACAATAAAAATTCTCACGACGTTTCGACCATAACTCAAACGGTCATCATCAGATGACCGTTTGAGTTATGGTCGAAACGTCGTGAGAATTTTTATTGTTTTATATATATTTTGTTATTTTGTTGTTTCTCTTCAACGTGACTTTACCGAAAAAACTAAGAATATGAATTACTGCAGTCACGAAAGCTTTAAATCAAAATTTACTTCGTCTCTGTTCACCGCTATCACCGTCACTATGCTCTCTCCACCGCTAACTGATTCGTCTCTGTTCACCGCTATCACCGTCACTACGCTCTCTCCACTGCTAACTGATTCGTCTCTGTTCAGCTCCGCTATCGCTACGCTCTCTTCACTGCTAGCTGCTCTCTTCTTCAGCTCCGCTATCGCTATGCTCTCTTCACTGCTAGCTGCTTTTCTTCCTCAGCTCCGCTATTGCTACGCTCTCTTCACTGCTAGCAGCTATCTTCTTCAGCTCCGCTATCGCTATGCTCTCTTCACTGCTAGCTGCTCTCTTCTTCAGCTCCGCTATCGCTATGCTCTCTTCACTGCTAGTTGCTTCTCTTCAGCTCCGCTATCACTATGCTCTCTTCACTGCTAGCTGCTTCTCTTCTTCAGCTCCGCTATCGCTACGCTCTCTTCACTGCTAGCTGCTTCTCCAGCTCCGCTATCGCTACGCTGTTTTCAAGCTCCGTCTCCAACTCCGTCTCCCAAACTCTCCACTTCAATTTCCCGCTGTTGACTTCAACTTCAATTCCCCCGCTGTTCACTCCAAGCTCCCCAACTTCAACAACCTCCGTCTCCAAGCTCTCCCAACTCCAACTCTCCCGCTCCAATTGCCGACCCCCCAATTTATCCCCGCTCTCATTACTCCACAATTATTTAACCTGCGTCCCAACGGCACTCCGCGTGACCATACACCTGTTCCTCGCCAGACTTCAAGACGCCCCTCCAGCCTTGGCAACAGCACCAACCAATCACAGCCGTCCTTGGCTCACAGCTTAATTGCCCTAACATAACCTGCACTCTATTTGCCTTCGCTACAGGTTGACCCAACATAACCCGTACTGTCTGTGTTATGTAATCACGCTGTTTCCACTACGCACCTTCCTACTCCACTACATATGTATCAATTCACGAAATGTCCAAAGGTACGTATGCAATGCAGTGGAAACGCAGTTTCAAGTATATTTTGTTGAACCAGGTGCGAAGGCAATAGACAAGGATAGAGACTGATATGCAAGGGTGACCTGGGTCATCACAATACTAAGTACAGCTCCGTGGCAAATATCAATCAGAGCTGAAACAACCCAACATATCTAAACAACACCTAATTGCATAATAAATAAGGCAAGGATATATATGCCAATAGAACACATGGAACACAGCATGTACAAAATACGTGTGTTCCGCTTGTTTACCCAGGAAAGCCGTACAGAATTAATTTTTTTCACGAGGGTCGTACCAATATTTTCGCTGCGGTGTGTACCGTAATCCCAACTAAGTGATTTGAAGGTACATTTTCAGCATTACCTACGATAATCACCCAGAAATGTCTGTCCATCCCGCGCGTGACGTCACTCCACACAAGGCCCACCCCCGTGTGACGTCACTGCACATGAGGCCCATCCGCCGCTCATTAATATTCATGAGTGGGTGGATTTTTACGCGAACGCAGAGGAAGGTCGAGCTAAATTAAATAATTTATTACACAAACAAAGTCGCTTAAAATATGACGTTTGTTTACAGAAAGTTTACGATAAAAAAATTTATCTACCCAGCACAGTGCTACATCCGTACGTGACGTCACTGCAAAAGAGCCCCCCCCCCCCCTTCAATAAAATATTCATGCCCGCGTGGAAATTTACACTAACACACAAGAAGGTCGCGCACTCCACATGCCGCACCCCATCCCCCCCTCATTAATAATCATGAGCGGATGACGTCACTCCACATTCCGCACCCCTCCACAATAATCATGAGGGGGTGACGTCACTCCACATGCTGCACTCCTCCCCAATAACCATTAGCGGGTGACGTCACTCCACATGAGGCAACCCCCCCCCCTCAATAATGATGAGCTGAACAATTTTTCTATTGAATATTTCAGATGTCATGCAATATACACTAGTCCTTGGACAGGCAAAAAAAGCTAGTTGGGGATATTTGGCCAAGACCAGCTACATTGTGTGCGTTTTATTAGCTACTAGCGGGAAGTACCTGGCGTTGCCCTAACGAAAAAGACAGACATACACATCGACTTACACACACTTGCAGACATTGACCCACACACACAAACACATCGACTTACACACACACATATGGACTCACAGACATGGACTTTAGATACACACACTTAGAGTTACACACACATACCGACGTATACACATACAGCGACTCACACACATCGACTTACACACATACATATAGATTCACACGCACATCGACCTACACACACATACGGACTTACACACACACATATCGATGAAGACACACACATGGACTTACACACACACATGGACCCACACACATCGACTTACACACACAAACATCGACTCACACACACACATACATAGACTGACATACACAACAACCGCCATTCGCCACTAAGTGGCGGTGACATCACCACGACGCTTGTGCCAGGCTATATGCACCTTGAGGCCACGTGAAGTGTCGAATGCCCGCTGGCAGGAGGTCACGGGGCAGACCCAGGTGCCACGGGTCGACTGACTGAAATGACTGGCTGATGCACCACCTGTGCCCCCTACTGTGCCAACTTGCTGTGCTTTAGCCACCCGGCGCTCCGCTCATTGTTGTGAGCATTGCTCTTCCGCCCTCCGTTGTTGTTGGAAGGCGACTGCCTCCAACTGCCCAGTAGCGTCCTTCACGAGCCTCCTCCACAGAGGCCGATCTTGACACCGCTGGTACCAGTCATCGGCAAGTCCACTCAGCTCCACGTCCTCCTGTACCACATCACTCCATCTCTTCTCGAGCCCATGCCATGCCCGTTTAGCCCCCTCGATCCGGCCGAACAAAAGCTGTTTGAGCATGCGGTGGTTGGGAATGCAGGCTACATGACCCAACCAGCGCAGCCTTGCCTGCCGGAGGAGCTCACCGATGGGACTGTCCACATCTTTCAAGGATTTGTGAGCTCCTCACACAATCCAGCCTGGTTAAACCCAGGATGGATCGTAGGCAGGCCAGCCTAAATCTTTCTAACCGGTGAAGATGTTCCATTAGGGGGTCCATGTTTTGCAAGCGTAGAGAAAGGAGGGAATGACCGTGGCCGACCAGGTAGCTTCCACACATCCTTACGCAACTGCTGAAAAGATAATGCCGCTCGACTGATTCTGAGTGAGACCTCTGCTTTTAAACCGGAGGCCGGTCATAAGCACACTGCCCAGATATGGGAAACTCTTTACATTCTCCACAATTGCCCGATCACC